GCTGGGAAACCGTGAGCCCTTGGCCGAGTCTCTGGGGGCCCCCGGGGTTATATATTCTCTGGCTGTTGTGATGGCAGCCCCAAGAATAATTTTCCTCTGGGGGAATTTATTTTATTCTGTTCAGAGCAGAGCCCATTTAATAACTAAGATTTTATTCCACAATGAACTTGGTTAAGTATCCGAGGCACTTGAGCTTCCCTAGGGCCCAGCTGGATGAAGAAATGAAGCATCCGGGCCTCTGAATATAACGCGGGTCCCATCTTTGCCAGCCCAAGTGTCGGCACACGTTTTGCTGTGAACCTGCGGCAGCGTGTTTTGCTGGAGGGAAGGGTGTCACACACAAATTCAAACACACAACTTAGAGTCTATAAAAGTGGTGACAAATTCAACCCCCTGACCTCATAGCGCTTATATCCTGGTGAGGGGAAGGGGGAAAAATGGGAACAGATAAAGCTGGGGCACAAGAAAGTGGAAAGGCAATAGTGTGATCTGGGACAGAGACCTAAGGAGGGGTCGGGGGCTTGGAGCGGAGGTCCTCTGAGCTGGAAAACCCCAACCTGTCCTTTCTTCGGGGGTGTCACAGGCTCGCCCCTGCCCGTATCTCCTCACTGCGAAGGCGACCCTCCGGCTCAGTGGTTTTGCAAAGCTGCTTCATTGCTGTACAAACAAGTGGCTTCCGCGCATGCCAAGAGCTCAGAGGTGCCGAGGTGCGGCGTGTTTACAGCGCTGCTGTTTGTTTTGTTTTGTTCTTTATGAAAACACACCAGTCTGGTTTTCTTTTTATGTGCGTAAACTGTGATGTTTTACTGTGATTTGGACTTCCAGGCCCAGGTCCATCCTGGGTTTACTTGAGGTAGGCAGGAGTGGTGACCGCATTTCCATTTTACAGATGAGGAAACCGAGGCACAGGGTTTTGCCCAAAAAGGTGACTTGCCCGAGGTCGCACATCCTAGGAACATAGACTCCCACTTATTCTTGGCCTGGAGAAACCCTGGATCTAGCAGGGGTACAGTTAAAAATAAGTGTCTTTTCCCCAACTCTGTCTAGAGACCCAGTCTCTCAGATCCCTGTCATTGGACAACTTGGGTGGCTTTTCTCAGCCTTGGAAGGTTTAAGGCACGGTTTTATTTTAAGCATTAAGAACTCCTATAGGGTGTTGGTACATGCTTATAAGCCCAGCACTCTAGGAGGTAGAGGCAAGAGGACTGTAAGTCCACCCCCAACC